ATTATATGATCTTATAAAACTGCAGCTGGGCTATAAACAATACAATTCTCAATGTTCTCAAAGTGTAGGATACACTCAGATGCCTTGGTTTTCACGAAAGACAGCAAATGAGAGACCCTCAAAAGAGAAAGTTTGTGTTTTTGTTAATATTATATCGAAACCATTACAGCAGGGGTTCCCAGTCCTGGTGACTCCATACAATGCACACCTCATTCAACTCATTGACTAATTAACAAGCTCCTTGTGGGCTACGTCAGATGTGTAGAAGGGAAAACGCAAAAATGTGCAAAGCATTGGGGTCACCAGGGCTGGGAGAACCGAGAACAGTTAGACCCTCAGCTCATTACACCCTAAAAAGCTGAGGCTGATGACGGCAGAAAAACTCCTTAAGAGCATGATGAAGAGCCCATTAGAGGATTATAAACAGAAAAGGACTAATCTACTGCTTAGCTACATTTCACCCTTCGGTCTGCGTCAGCGCCAACAATAATGCAGCACATTAACAGTGCCAGAGTTTATTTACTGTTTGGCAGTGGCGACTGAAGGCCATAAGCACCAGATAAACTGTGTTGATCACTTCAGTGGATTTTAATTATGGCTGGATGAGAGTTCCTCACCTTTTTCCCCTCTGAGCTTTCTGCAGACGTTTTGAGAGCATATTTGTCCTGATTCACTCCTCTCTGTCCTCCAGCAATCCATTTATCTCTGGCTTCTCTCCGAGGGCCTGTTATCAAGTGAGTATGTGACACAGATATATTAGGCAATGTCTTGTTCACGGACGAGGGAATTCTGGTCTCTTAGCATGAAACAGATTATACACCCTACAGCCATCTCCAAGCTACTCCCAGCTCCCTACGGAGCATTCCTCCTCATGTACTCACAGCTACTCCCCTGTTCTCTCAATGTGTGCTGCCTGTCTGTTTCTAGCACCTAATCCCTTTTCTCAGAGCATGGATGAACTGTGCCAGGTGAAAAAAGGCCAGTCAACAATAAAGATAGTAGATTTACCACAGTGGTGTATTATGTTTAATAACTGTGTAAAAGTGAATGACACTAAATAAAGGAGACAGTCCGGCTCAGCGGCCCTGATTAATTGTGTTCTATGATGAGCTCATTAAAGCAATAGCTTGTCGAATATTCATACAGTTTTCCTTGTAATAAATGTAGTTGATCTGCCAAAACATGTTTGGCGTCCAAAGTTTGTTTCTTTAGTTTGTCACTCGAGTGCAGCCAAAAATTCAGGTTTCTGGTTGCGGCTACAGTTTTTAGCTATGTAATGTAGTTTTAAATAACAGTACATCATACAGCGTCTAAAATTAAGTCAGTGTGAATCTATTAAGTCTATTAATTCTGCAAGTGTGTGATAATGTAGGCATTCTTGAAACAAGCAATATTATCAGCATTTTTTTAAACAAGCAATACTTTTGCTCAGGAGAAACATCTGAGCAGCACAAAACTTAAGCAAAATCTCCTTTGTCTTTCAATCTCTACTCATTGATGTCTAAGAGAAACTAGAGATATTAAGAAGATTCTTCTCTTCATTATTTTTCTTCCTTATGGGTTTACTTGTAATGGAATAATGGAATGGAATAACACAACCTTCACTAAAAATGGCTTAAAATGAGTAAAAATGTCTACACTGTTAGAAATAAAGGTTCTGTGCAGGTACATTTTTCGTTTATTAAAGTACAAACAACGTAAATGCACCCTCAAAGGGACAACAGTGATTTCAAGGTCCAATAGTGAACCTTAATTAAGTTTTTTTTTCCAGGTGAAAAGTACATATTTGTAGCTTTTCATAACCTAATGTTTTAAAACAGAACAGTAAATTAAAAAGCCTGGAGATGAGACGGGGTGTGTGGAGTCATAACAGTTTAGAAAATATAATTTCAGTGGATTATGGTACAAATATGTTCCCTGACTAAAGATACTGAGACGTACCCTTGAGGGAACCACCCCAGTGACAGTTTCATACCTTTTTTTTTTGAGAAATAAGTTGTCATCATATAACATTCTTACAACATCTCAAAATGAGAAATATTAGATATTTTGACTAGACTGAATATGATTCAGCTATATATATAAAACATATCTTTTTGCTTTGTATTACTTGTTACATTAGCCTCGTAGCTCCAGTGCAAAACTAAAGAAACAAACTTCAGACACCAAACGTGTCTTGGCTGATTGACTACATATGGGGTGAAGGGAAAGCTGTGTAGCCTGAAGTTCACTTTTCTTCATCTTATTCTGAAAGGCTTCTTCTTATAAGTGCAACATTCACTTCTTCATCCCAAAACTGTCCGGACTTCATTGACAAAGAGCCACAGTTAAATGCTCACTGACTTTAGCCCAGTCGAGCTGAAGAACATGTTGAGCAGAGCGTAGATATCATGCTGCATGTGTTTTTGACTGCTAAGGGTGGCGATGGTGGTAAGACGAGCTCTTCAACTGGCTCTCTGTCATCAAGGCCTAATCCATCTATCTAATGTACATGCAGAGCAAGAGCAAACAGGCCACACTGTTCACTCACACTTCACTCTGCACACGGATACATACAGTGTTGAGTTACAGTGACCACAGGCCTACCATATCCATCACGTGTAGGCCTGTGCAACAAACTATGAAAATCTTTTTTAAATGCTCGTCGCAACGCTACACTTCTTCTACACTGCTCACTTGCATCTTAGCCTCTGATGAAGCTCATGTGGTACTTTGTTCGGTGACCCAAACAAAAAAGGACACAGCGCTGGAGAAAGAATGCAGCAATAGATGCATGTAATGCGATAACAGGATTGAAATCAAGGTGTCAGTAACACTGCCTGCTGCCTCTCTCTGCGCTTTCCATTGAGGCAATTTCCTATGAGCCCTGCTCTCCTGCTGATGGGAAGCCTCCTGTTTTTCTGTGTGCCTTATCTGGCCAGAGGATCTATATTAAACACCCTGGCACAGCTCCCCCTGCGCCCATCTCCCCGTCCCTATCTCGGCCTATCTGTCCCCATCTGGAGGCTTCGCTCCAAATTATTTTTCTCTTTTTCTTTATTTTCCACCGTGTTGTTTACTCAGCAAGGTAGAAAATAAAAAGGTGGAAAAAAAAAGAAAAATCTGTCTCAAAGTCTCACAATTGCCATGACAGGGCAGGCTTTGAAGCATGTCAGATTTGAAAGTCATACTGATTTGCACTATAATCTTGTGTCAAATGCATTTTACAGTCGTTCAGCCAGGTTTCAGTGAATGTTTTGTTCTGTATACTTTTATATACTCAAGATATTTCTGCAGCTGAGTGAATCACATTTATGCACGGATCCTTTGCATTATTCTTATGTGCATGCATTTCCATTTCATATGGTTTGTTTTCTTCACCTGTGTTTGATTCTGGCATTTCACTCCACCTCACTCTCTCCTCTTCTCTGTCACTCACGCTGCCTAGCCGGGCCCTGCCTGCCTCTGATCGCAGCGATACGTCAACTTGTGGGAGCAGGAAATGAAACCTTTCATTCCCTCCTCCTCCATAGCCTTTATCAGCGCAAACTAGGCTTCTCCATGCCAGCCTGCTGCTTAATAAACTCATTTTGCACCCTGAGAATACCTGCTTATCTACACACACACAAACACACACACACCTTCCCCCCTCCTTCTTCAGCCCTCAATCTACTCTTAATATTAATTATTAATTCCAGAGTAGCCACAACTTTACCTGTCTAGCTTACTTTTCTCTGAAGTCTGAAATGCTGTGAAGGAACAAGAGCTGCAGGTCTGAGATCAGGAGCCAAGTGGGGTGTCTAAGGCCTACTTTTGAGAGTAAACTAAAACTTCAGCTTTCCTTCTGAAAGCACAGACACAAACCTGAGCACACATTCCTAAATACCTACAGGTATCACTGTTTCCTTTTAGCCTCATAAACTCAGATTTTAATGGTAAGATTAATGATAAAGTCATAAAAGCACAAAGACAGCCTTTCCATCACGAGGTATGAGAACACGGCTGTTCATAACCGGGCCAGTGGCGCCCCCTGCATGCTGCAGTGGAATTACATGATTAGCGGTGTTTAAGATTGATCCACAGACTATAAAAAAAAAATCACAATAAAAACTGGCGTAAAGCATTGCTGATTGTGACGTCTTGTATCTTTAGTGAACTCTTGAAAAGCCAGTTACATTTAATTAGATGTTTCAAGACATCAAATTAAGTTGTGAAATTGTTTAAATACAAAGTAAAAAATTTAATTTGACATGTTAAAAATCAACATGTAAAAAATTCTGATATTACTAGTAGAACTGTTATTTTCAGCATGTAGTATTTCACACTCCCAGTAGTAAGAATTCACGTTTCCAATTAATTTTAATGGGAGGAACAATTTAATGGGAGGAAGTAAAAACAGTGAAATTTAAGATAAAAATACAATTTGGACATGGTGACATTCTAATTATTATGCTATAATTAATGTAATACTCGTAAAACTGAATTGTTACATATGAAAAAGTAATTCTTACATATAGAAAAGATTTTCCACAAAAATATATATATATATTTGCATATTTTTACTGGTCAATTGGTGCGTTAAATAAGAAGAATTTCAACATGTAATTTTTACTGTGAAAACAGAATCATCTGTAATATTAATTAGTGTTAATGTTGCCATTCAATTAATAAATAATAATAATGATAATAATAATAATAATAATAATCCTCTCATTAACTCTTGTGAACACAAGAGTTCTTACTAGTGAGAACTCAGATCTTATATGCTAAAATATAACTCCTGCTAGTAAAATTTTAATTTAACATATTACAAATATTTTTATGTACTTTTTTTTACCAGTACTAAAAATACTCATTTTCTTTACTTGTACTTTAATGTATTTTTCTGAATTTCTGATATCAGAAATAATGGATTAAAAGCTAAAGCGTCTTTCCAAAAACTGAGAGAAGATGATCTCTGATGATAAACTACTGAAAAGGAAAGTCATGTGACCTCGGAGACACTTTCATGTCATGTGACTCTTCACTTCCTCTCAGTAGAAGTCATGGACTGGTTTACAGGAGAGAGAGTCATCGGCAAACAACAGCCAGGTAACAGAAACTCCAGTTTTTATGCTACATTTTTGTGAGTTGTGTTTTGTTTTCATGAGTTTTTTATTCAGATTTGGTTGTTCGGTAAAGATTTTGGAGCGTTGAACAGTCTCTCTGGAGAGCAGACCACACGTAGCACAGCTGAGACAGACTGTAGAGAAGAGAAGAGACAAACTAATGCAGTAACACCGAGATTCACATCCAGACACAACACTGATACTAAAGCTCAGAGGTCGTCTTGTGCACGTAAAAGAGGAATGCTGAGTTATTTCTACAGTCAAAACCAGTAATTGTGAATTATGAACGTTAAAAAGATATTTTAAAGACTTAGTCTCAGTTAAACTGCTATAAACTGCTATTCGGTTTTATACTAAATTCTGATTTTATTTTATTTTATTTTTGTCCAGTTTATATGTAAAGGACCCTAAATTATGGACTAATATAAATAAAGATTATAAATAAAGATTATTATTACTTCTTCTTCTTCTTCTTCTTCTTATTATTATTATTATTATTATTATTATTATTATTATTATTATTATTATGTAAACTATTTAATGGAGTGAAATAATTCTATTTCATAACCATTATAGAGCATTCATTGCACTCATGTAGATGTGTTGTGTGAGAAGCAGAAGAGAGAAGGAAAAGCCATTACTATTCTACACTTTTATTTACTACAATCATTTTTTAAACATGTTCTCACACCAAAGACACATTCTGTTTAATAAAAATATAAATATTCTGTTTACTGCTTGAAGAAAGCAGTTTATTTTGAGGATTTTATGTGAGGATCTATTCTCAAAAAGGAGCAGGTGGAAGAGTCCTTCAGTATTGGCCCATCCATTCCTAATACACCAGTGCACATAGCTAATGGAGTTAGTTCAGAATGAAGATCCGTCAGACCATGGAGCCCCCATCTCTGATCATACTTTAATTATTCAAATTAACTTCATGTAAAACCTGTACACCCCTACAGAGCCTTTAAACTTTTTCCTCTCTCTTGCTAGGTCTGACAGTGGCAGTGAGTTTGCTGCTTGTCTTTTTGATCGTACTCCTGGCAGCTGTAGTCTACACTCCTCCAGGTGTGAGGTGCTGCAGGAGAAGAAACATGGCTGAAGAGCACCTCTCACTCACTGACAGTAGAGTCTCATGACAGTCTCCACTCTTCAGCGTGTTTATGATGGACCTTTGTCACCAGCTCTCTCTTTTCCATCTAAACTTGGTTATCTGGCTTCAGTACACGGATAAAATGTGCACTCTGCAAATGGAAATAATGGACTGCAGTCAACAGTGGACACAGTGGAATCACCATGGTGCTGTGTGGTGTTTCATAATTGCGTATCACTGAAGGACACTTAGAAAATAATCATACGGAGACATTCTGATTAACTCACAGGACTGTGGGTCACTAAAAAATCTCAAAGCTTTTGTTGTCAAAGCTAAGTGTAAGCAGAATTTTCTGTATTTATTTTCATAAAAATGGATAAATCTTATGGATATGAGTGTCCCAGTTTATAGTTTACTATACTGTATTAAATTAGGATGCTAATTGTTGAATCTAGCCTAAATCATCTATAGTCCTGGTGGAGTATTTTTATTTATGTAACCCATAAATGTAATTTCAGGATGTCCTGCCCTCCCAAACCTCTCTTGCCTGAACCTGTGGCAAATGTAGTTCCTCTAGTGACCAGCAGAGGGGGTTAGAGACCTTCATTATTACCTTAGCCTACAGAAAATATGATGATGCATTTGAACTCTTTCTGAAACAAGTTGGTGATCTGTTTATACCCTGAACTCTAGTTCTTCCACAATATGCGGTCATTGTTTAAAGCTTGGTGTTGCCTCTGGTGCTGCAGTGGGTTTCACCAGCATTGGGCAGGGAAACAGCAGCATTTTAAACTTGATATATAGACTAGGGCTCTGTGTTAATAATAATAATAATAATAATAATAATAACATTTTTAATTTATATAGCACTTTTCATGCTGGTGGGAGCTGAAAGTGCTTTACAGACAGGTTATAAACTTAAACAGTAATACAAGAAATTAAAGGAATTAATTTAAAAAATGACAGATCAAATTAAAAAGATAAATACCATGAGACGTAGAGTTTTAATTAAATGCTAAGTTAAAGAGATATGTTTTTAGATGCTTCTTAAAAGTGAGCACTGAGCTTGACTGTCTAATAAAAGGTGGAAGTCCCACAGTTCAGAAGCATATTAACTGAACGAGGCCTCTCCATGTTTTCTGTATTTTGCAGAAGGTATGTGCAGAAGGCCAGTATCTGCAAATCTAAGATCACTTGTTGGAACATAAACAGACAGACACACATGACAGCTAGGTCATTTAAAGCCTAAAAACTAGTAGCAGAACTTTAAATCTATCCTGAGCGATACAGGTAGCCAGTGCAGTTCTTTTAAAACAGGAGTAATATGAGCTCTTTTCTGTTTTTGTTAGGATGCATGCTGCCGCATTTTGTATGAGTTGTAAGGGATGTTTTAGACATTGTTCAGTTCACCTAGTTCAACATAGTTTAATGAATGTTATCTAACAACAGGTGCAGTCATAACTTACTGATAAGATACAAATTACTTCCTTTAATCAATTTATTTGCCGACAAGCCTCCTATGAATAAAACCTGCCTATTAAGAATTCACTGAACTTTTAAAATTCATTTCAGTTGTGTATGTTCATCGGTTATATTTTTGTAGAATGCTGTCATGGGCATTCTGGTCTCATATAAGATTCATCATCGAATGATCGATCTCTCAAACAATCTTTCAGGCCTGCTTTAATGTCTTACATTAGGGTAGGTGTTCCGTGTTGTCCACAGAATGCAAAGTGGCTGTCTTTCATTGCCCTTAGTATAAAGTAGAGAGCCAACCTTATTGCATTTTCATTTTCATTCCTAGACTTAATTACATTTCAATAAACCTGATCCTCCCACTTCTTTTCCTTTTTCCAAATAGCCGCTGAGCCAAGGCCTTTAAGCTAGCTTTAATTGAAAGTTGTGATTGCCTTGGTCCTGTTTCCTGGCTTGACGTTAAACCACGACAGTCACTATATCCACCGTAATCCTAGCTAATCTGGTCTTCCTTGGCTCTGCCTGCTAATCCACACACGACGAGGCAGAGACCTGGTCACTAATAGATAAACACACAGCAGCTCTATGCATAGGATTATGTATGATAAAGATCACGGGGGAACCATCAGGGTCTTTTAGGCCTTCAAAGAATTCAAATGATTTATCTGCAATACAAAAATACATATCTGCAATGTTGAGATAATTTTTATTTAATAGAATCATCATGCTTATTGTATTCCAACTCTGCAGGTATATGTAGTAATACTCTTATTTCGCTGTTGGGTTTTGGCTGGAAAACAGAAGGGCTACATTCTTGAAACACCCAACAGAAAATTATTCAGTCAGGGTTTTTCATCTCTGTGGAATCTGGATAGATCCGGACAAGCTAGCTCTTCCATTGGTTAGGATTTCTGGAGCTGAACTGAAAGGCCTGAAGAGTCACATTAACCACTAATTAGGAACAGACAGAGGAATCAACAAATCATGTTTTGATTTACAATGAGTGTGACTAGTTCTGTGAGAAAAAACATCAGTCTAAGCCCTCTGGAGTTTCCAGATAATGTCACTGACTGTGAACATGACCCATCTAACCAGGTGTCGGATAGTGGTTAGAATTGGAATACAGCAGCAGAAGCTCTAATCCAGGGTTCTGAAAGAATCCCTGTAAAACTGCTACATATATGTTAAAATATATGTTACTATGTCTGTTACAAGCTTCAAATAAAACACACCGTCTTTTACAGGCTTCAGGTGTTTTAGGTGTTTAATCTAGAATAGCCCAAAGCTCATATGAACTGCCGTCAACTAAATGCTTACATAGTAATTGAATCCCATAGGGTCGCTTGCAGAAATTAGCATTGTAGTAGGGGTATTTTCCCTCATTTTTGACCGAGTTTAGACATTTATGGCTGAAACTGATGGCTTAGCAGGTTTCTACATTGATAAAGACATACATGTTAAAGAATAAGTTTTTTAAAAAAGTAACCTACAATACAGGGGTGTCCAGTCTTACAACATACGGCCAAAAGTGTGTGAACACTTGACCACCGCAACTGTTTAAGCTTGTTTGACATTAATATGGAGTTGGCTCCTCACTGCAGTGAAAACAGCCTCCACTCTTCTGGGAAGTCTTTGGCATTTGGGATTGTGTTTACCTTTGGCCATATAGTGTAACTACAAAAGATATGTCATAAAATTTGAAGAATGCAAATGTAATTATTTTGCACAAAAAAAGATTTTCTCATGTTCCTTAGTGATCTTTTTTGTGTGGATCCATGTCTGTATGAAGGCAGGGCTTTATTAGTTGTCTGGAGACGCAGAAATTTAGCTTAGTTAGAGAAATGAGCCGTCAGATGGAGACATAAGGAGCAGTTAGCAGTTAGAGGAAATCTACATTTATGACTAATGAACCCTGGCATTTTATGAGTTTTGGCAGAGGAGAGGATATGCTAGGATGTTCCTGCAGTTCTTGTTCCGTTCAATTGAATACCAAAACTGTATGGTGTTTTGAAGACGACTGAAAACAAGGAACGTTGTGATCTTTAAAGTAATGATGACGACAGACCCGAAAATAAACAAGGTGAAATGATTGTGTAACTCATTGTAGTGACTCAGTGTCACGACAATAAACGCAATTGTCATTGGCCCCCAAGCAGTGTGCTCTCAGTCTAGAGTGTGCTCTCAGTCTCTATTATGACTACATATGCCTCTTTTTCATAAACTGAGTGTATGGTAATTATGGCCATTGTCTTCTGGCCTAAAACTGTGGTGCAATGATGATGCGTGTGCTGGGATGAACTGGGGGAGGGGACACAGAGGGGGCTGGGGGAGTTTAATCTGTGGCCCAGATATCTCAAAGGATTTGATGAATTTTTCCTCCTCTGCCATGCTATCCTCTCCCAATCTGTCGACTCGGTCCCTCACTATGTTTAATCAGAATCACACTCTTTAGTCACCAAATGTATGAGGTACTCAAGATCAGGGCTGCCAAAAATATTTTATATATAAATATCGTCATTTTGCTCACCCTTACTCGGGAGGACTTTGATTTAACAACTAATGAAAGGGCTTACAACACAGACATATACAACAATAAATTTCAGTTTGTCAGGATGATGAACTACATTGCAAAATTAGTCTGTAAACTTTGTCATTATGACTGATTCATGTTTCTTTGAGAATGTCCATTGTTGTGTCTATTTTATTTAATTATGTATTTATTTTATTAGAATGCATCAAGATAAAGTTCATTAACATTCAGGTGCAGGTGCTATATCAGTTGCTAACAGTTGTAAACATATAAATACAAATACCAAAGGCAAAAATAAATTATATACACTGGTTACCATCAGAGTTCTTTCTGTTTATCCACAGGCTCTGAATGTGTGTAAGTGTTGTAATGACACAGACATTCAGAGAGGATTTTATATTTTAGATTATTTTAGAATCAGCCCTCTCTGCCAGTTTAACACGTTCTTGATCATTCCCTCAAGCAGCTTCATGAGGAGCCATCTTGGATGATTTTCCAACAGAACTGAAGGAAATACACATAAACTGAGACCTTGTTATTACTGAAAACATAGTGACAGCTAGTGTATACTGCTTCAATGCAGTATTCATGTAGCAGCGCTTTTAATAAAACACAAGCCCATTCCCACCAGGCAAAGGAGAAAAAAGGCCAACATTTTCCTCCTCCTTGTTTCTGGCAGCAATATGTCAGAATTTTGACATAGTATCTTAACACAATGAGTTGTTTTATCAAGTCCTGGTTTTAAAATACTATATCAAAATTTTGACTCACTAAGTCATCAAAAAATGGCTTAATATCTCGAAATCAATTATGAAATTGTAACTCAAAACAGTGACTTACATAATGTTGACTATGTTAAGATACACACACACACACACACACACATTATCATCATCATCTAAACCGCTTATCCTTCTGGGTCGCCGTGCTATGTTAAAATAATGACTTTTCTAAAATTTTATTTTCTCAAGATTTTTAGTTAAAAAGACAGATTCTAAACATACTGTATGTGGGAAGTTTTAAACTTTTTAAAAGTTGAATTAAAATGGTCGAAAATTTAAGTAATTTTGGGAATAAAAAGTCATTATTTTGAGAAGTCAAAATTTTGAGAAAATAAGTCATTATTTCTACATAGTAACTCAACACATTTGACACGTTGATGCCAGAAACAGACAGACCCCAGTTTTGTTTACTGACCAACACCGCCTTTATCTCTCTTTCACACACACACACAGAGAGATAGAGCGGGCGGCTAGGGGACAGAAGCGCTTCATTTATTTTTTTAATAATCTACAGTTCTTTATTCTTAAAGGAACAGTGTGTTACTGTAAGATGTCCTGTGGTGGCACCAGGTCTAACTGTGTCCTGGTGCTGGGTCTTCAGGCTGTCTGTCTGAATGACGCATGCGTTTTAGCTCCTCTAGTGAGGGAGCTCAGTAGAGGAGAGTCTCTCTGCACATCTTCCTCTGTCTCAGCTCGGCAAATTATGTCCGTTTTTCCGCCGCTGTCACTTTCTTCTTCACTTCCCGGACCCTGAATGGCGCTGGTGACCGTGCAGCGCTCGCCGACTCCCAGCACCACCTCCAGCCCGAGCGTGTCGGTGAGTGAGTAAGAGTAAGGTTACTAAGAACGGCTGATCGCCAGTTT